ATACATTTGCAGAAAAAGAACAGTTGGTAAAGGATATAATATCCAAAAATAAATGTCAGATTAATTTTTCATTTGATATTTGGACTAGCCCAACTCAGGTTCCTTTTTTAGGGTTAACAGCCCATTTTATTGATGATCATATGTATAATACATTTGCAGAAAAAGAACAGTTGGTAAAGGTTATAATATACAAAAATAAATGTCAGATTAATTTTTCATTTGATATTTGGACTAGCCCAACTCAGGTTCCTTTTTTAGGGTTAACAGCCCATTTTATTGATGATAATTTTAAAATAAATAACATAATTTTGGATGTTGCTCCAATAAATAAACAACATTCAGGTGAAAACATATTTAAAGCCTTTATTAAAATAATTAAAAATTATAATTTGGAGAATGAAAATTTTTATATAACTCTAGATAATGCTACTAATAATAAAACATTTATTGATACATTTTCTTTAAAATATCCATCAATAAAAATAGCGCACATTCGATGCTTTGCTCATGTTATTAATTTAATATCCAAAGAAATTTTAAAAATTTTAAATCCATCAATTTTAAAACTACGAAACATTATTAGGATGATACGTAATTCTCCTAAAAAATTAAATTTATTAAAAAATATATGTAGTTCACTACATCCTCCTATAAATTTTTTAAAACCCAAATTGGATTGTGAAATAAGGTGGAATAGCACCTACCAAATGATTGAAAGGGGCTTATTGTTAAAGCCTGCTATAAAAAAATTAGTTAATGAAGTTATAACTAATATTATTATTCTTCAAGAAAAACAATTATCAGAGGTTAGGTAAATAATACTTTATTAACATAACATACAGGAGGAATGGGACGATCTTGTAAAAATTAAATCTATCCTATTGCCTTTATATGAGACTACAAATATGGTTTGTGGGGAAAATTATCCTACTTATAATTTGGTTATACCCTATTATATTCTAATTCTTGAACACTTAAAAAAAGAGAAACCTTGTTTCCATAAAACCTCTAACAATGATTTCAAAGTGGCTTGTGATAAATTGTTGGGCTATTACAATTTAACTGCAGATGATGCAATAATAGCTACAATATTGGATCCCAGGCTCAAAATAGAATATTTTAAATCAATATCTCTTGATTATGATATTGATATATCCAGGTTAACAGACAAGTTTAAAGAGATTTACAGCAGATATACAGGTATTTAATTTACCCACATTTAAATACATATCATTTTATTTTATAAGCTGCTGATAATTACAACTGCCAAAATAAGGATGAAAGTCAACAAAACAGGCTTGACATTGTTTTTAAACAAAATTATGTTCAACTATGTGAAATCGATTTTTACCTGAGTGAACCAAGATCAAAGAGTGATACTGATCCATTAATGTGGTGGAAGACAAATGCACATAGGATCCCCATACTCTCAAAAATGGCAAGAGATTATTTATCTATACAAGGAACATCAACTGCGTGTGAAAGACTTTTCTCAGTTGGCACTAATTTGTTGTCAAAAAACCGCATGTCGTATAAAGAAGAAAAAATAAGAAAAACCATTTGCCTTAGAAATTGGCTTAAAATTATAAATTAAATGAATAATATAATATTTTAATTCTGTTTATAACTTGATTTTATTTATTTGTCATCGGATTATTATAATTTTCTGTTTGAAATCAAATTTGCAATAAAAAAATTTGTCAATATATTTGAGTATGATTTATTTTATTAAGAAAATTCATTTCAATTATTCGAAAATTATTCGAATCGAATACAAATAATAGATTTCATTATTCGTACGAATTCAAATAGTAAATTATTCGATTCGTTACGAATAATGCACTATTCGATTCGAATACGTTTTTGAATAGGCCTAATTTAAATACAGTTTTATCTTTTTGGCTATCTTATCTAATATTGAATATTTAGAAAAAGATAACTGACCAACAGACTTTCACATTCGTTATGGGGAAGGGCAAGTTAAACCACTTATTTTCGACTGAAGCTCGATGTGCATCTCGGAATAAATTGGATGAGGAATATATTGAATGATAATAATGAAAGTAGTTAATTCCTCCGTGATTTGAAAGAGTAATTCCGTGTGGTACTTCTGAATGTGAGCACGGATTTGCTTGCCAGTTTTATTATAAAACATCTCCAGTGTAATTATGATAAACGTTATAGGGCTTCCTCTCAGTCAGTGGAATTCTTCGTATATTAAAAATGACTGACAAGAAGATACAGATCTGCAAACTATAACTTATCAAGGAAACGAGTGGTTAACATTATTAAAATATTGAAAAAGATTCGCTATGGCGAATGTTTTAGTTTTTTTCGCCCTTTTTGACCTATTCCGATGCGTAATATTATAATTTAATTATTTTTATATAATTATGAAAATCTAAAAGGTTACGTCATTTTTTATGCAATATATATTTTGAAATACATTTCAATTTTTATATAGCTTTCTAAATAACTATATAATATATAAAAATACAATGTATTTTATATGAAACGCTTCGATGTAATCTATTTTTTTTTAAAAAAAACCTCAAATTCTTGGAATTTAAAAAACTTTCTTCTTTTTAGGGTTTACATGAAGCTATATAGAAGACTAAACAGATGAATGTTGAAGATGAATTATAACACTGTCTAGGTACTTAATTTAAACATTTTATTTATAAAAGGTGGGGAAAATATCACCATATGGAGGAGTTAAATGGCTAAAAGAGAACTCCTCGTTGGATAGCAAAGTTTAAGATTTCTTTCCTACCTATGATCTTAGTTAGTTTAAGTGAGTCTATCGAATATTCTTAGGATGTTAATGGCAAACAATGTAATTTAAAATTTTCTATTGATGGATATATGCTTGCCTTCTAGTTTATATAGGCATAGTCATACTTACGAAGTCTGTTTGACTAGGCTATAAAGATAATACCATCGAGAATTTTCTTTTAGGATGCTTACTAACTCGAGGATTGATTGAATATTAACATTTTTAAAGGTGGCTGACCTTATGGTGTTCAAATATTTATGGCGAGATTACTTGGGGTTCAAAAATTTTAAATTGCTTTTGTGGGAATTTTGCAAACATAGACCAATTTTAAGAAAAATACTCAAACCCCGAGTATTTTGGGATCAGGGGGTATTCGGGCACATTTGAAAAAGCAGCCATTAAATTTTTTGATGAGATTTCCGCCACAAAACAATTTCGAATTTTTGACTTGGAATGATATGAATTAGATTAATTGTTTATCCACAATAAGCGCATATGGACGCGACCTCAATGCACCCAAAACTAGACGCAGGGCGATGGATATGTGTTATTGTTCATAATCATAGGTATTTGACTAAAATAAAGATTAATTTATAAAATTTACTCGTTAATACAATATACATAGAATCTACTTTCAGGAACGATCCTGAGCACTTCCAAAATGGAATGGATACAGTGGCATAGATACGGGAGGGGTTTTCGGGTTTGGATTCCCCCCCCCCCCCAGAGCAAATTTTTTTTAGATTATACGTTTAAAAGACTCAAAAGTGATTTTATATCAAATAAATGCCATGAATATTTATTATTTTCTGGTTATGATGTTTGTGGAAGCATATTATATTACTATTGAAATTATTATGGAAGCCTGAAAATTATGCAAGCCTGAAAATTTTGCTCATGGATGTACAAAGGTTTAGACATTATTCGTGAAATCTCTAGGCTTGAGCAATATTTTTTTGGCTAAAATATTGAGTTAGCTGTTTATAATAACATTCGGTTCACATCGAGCCATTATTAAAATGATCAATAATTCTAGGACTTTTATATTTTAAGAAAAACAAATATGATTTTTAGCCCCCAGGCTTTTATATGTATGGACCCTCTCTAAGGAAAATTCCTAGCTACGCCACTGAATGTAATATATTATTGGCCGTAATGAAACAGGGACGCAAAAGTGTCCCTTATATATATATAATATATTCTTCGATAAGGAATAAATGTCTGTCAATAGAAAAATTATATAGTATTCCAATTTGTTGAAATTTTTTATTGAGGAATGTTTATTGGGCGTACTTTATAAAAATGATATTCTTTACTTTTATCAATAGCTTAATCTCCATTTAAATGCAAGTTTGTTAATATTAATGAAGGCATATTAAGTCATAGTATTTCTCAGTATGAGTAGTTATATAACTACACTAACCTCTAGAAATAATATCCTGTAAGTAAAAGTATTCGAATAAAAAAAAATTACAATAATTTTAAACAATTTCTATTGAATTTTCTTTACTTGTAAAAAGGGCTAAATAATTACATTAAATTTACATTCTACATATAGGAGTTAATAAATAATTTTTTATAAGAACCGCCTGGTTAAAAAAATTTAAGATACGGTGCACCTCTAATAAGATATATGCTAATTATATTCGACGTACTTGAGAAATAAAGAATAAAGGTATGATGATATAATAGAGATCTTCTCTAATAGATCTCAAAATTTTATACTGCTATTTAGTCAGACTTGCATATATGGTTCAACTAAAAAATACCTGATCATAAATAGAAGAATATTATTAGTGGATTATCAAGAAGGATTTTAATATTTTTAAGCATTTCTAAGGATACATTTAGTTTCATACAAATTTGTGTGATAAGAGGGTTTAGAACATCGACCTTTTCGAAGGTCGAAATCAACCAAACTTCAATGTTATTTGGCACATTAAAATAAAAAAAAAATTTTTTTTAAAGGTTTCACTATGTTATTACACAAAATTGTTTTAAAACAAAAATTAATATAAAAAAAATATTGTAATTATTCTATAGTGAGCTGACAATTAATATGATAATTATTACCAACATCCTTTAGCATTTTAAATTTTTATGATTTCCATTGTATTTATTATTATTTTATGAATTTGTTAGCAACTATTGTGTTAGATTATAACCATATTAAAATAACTAATTTCTCATATATTTATGTACCTTTAGCCCTTTCTAATTCCCAATGAAGGCTTTTGACGGCCGGATAGCTCATTATTCAGATATATCAATTAATAACTTTTTAGACTTCAATTTAAGCTCTCAATTATACTTCTTATCTCACAAACAAATGGACCATATGAAGGGCCTTGACTCAGCCGAATTCTATACTCGCGTTTCTGATATGTCTATATTTGATTGCTTCAAACGTAAGAGATTGTTTTACTCACCAGTAACTAAAACTTTGCTCTATAATGACCCCAAGTATGCTCATATAAGTGTATTTTTCACTCTCTCGACCAGTTTTGATCAAGGCTCGTATTTATGATAATAATGAAAACATTTGAGATGACCAATGCGATATAAGTAAAATGCAAGGTATTATTAAGGAAGATGAAAATGTTATGCGGGATTTGAAAAAAGAAACAGATCATGAAATTATGGGAATAATCGATCACAAGAAAAAGTTGAGAACATATTATAACAACAAAAATGGCAATGATGAAACATGGAAGAAATTAAGTGACTCCAATAATAACAAGTCTAGACACCTGACTTTCATGATGACCCTAATTCCAGCAGGTCATTGCCCCGGTTCGGTAATGTTTAATTTTGAAAGCCCCCTCGCCAACGTGTTATATTCCGGGGATTTTCGATTTGGAGATAAATTTCTATCTTTTAAACCCGGGAGATTATTCTGTCTTGATCAGTTTATAAAACCTGGAATAGACGCTCTTTACTTGGATGCAACGTCTGCTGTACCGGAGGCTTCTTTTATTCCATCTAGAGAAGAAAGTTGTAAAGTAATGGCTCAACTGGTTAAGAATTGGTTAAATTATGGGACTAATGATTGTGAAGATAAAAAATGTAATAGCGATGATACAAATAGTGTTAATATTAAAACAAATCGATTTGTTAGGCTAAATTTGCTTTACGACATTGAATATGAACCCCTGTACGCCTCATTACATAAAGTTACTCATTATAAGGTCCACGTGTCGCCTTATCAATATGAATATTATAAGTCCACTAATGTAACTTCTTATCTCACGTTGAACCCAACGGTTACGCTTCTTCACGCTTGTCGATTCAGGCCCTCGAATATTAAACAAAGCAACAATAGTAAGGAATGCAAAATCGAGAGTTGTCATGAAAATAATATCAACCAAGATGAGCTAAATCTGCATTTTTGTGACTCAATAAATTCCAGTGAAATTGAGGACTTTAGTTCAAAGGTTTTGATAATCCAGCCTTCCGTCATGTGGTGAAATCAGACTTTGACCACAAAAAAGATATATAGCAAAGTTCGTAACTTTTATCGTCTTTGTTTTTCCATGCATCCATCATATAGGGAAATTTCAAATTTTTTGGCACTCGTCAGGCCTAAAGAGATTTTTCCAATAGCCAAACCCGTGAATTGCGATTATTACAAGCTTAATCGCATTCTCTATAAATGCGTAGATGATTTTAAGCAATTTAGCTTTGACGAAACAGACACAAGTAGTAAGTTTTTGCCCCAGTCATTTATCAAGGATGAACAACAAAAAAGACGACTTTCTAATAGTTTATCTTCATCCAAATACTCGCAAGAATCATTTGAGCCATTAATTAGAACTTTTGATAAAATGAATGAAATTTTATCGTTTTTTTATATTTTCGATGAACTTCCACTAGTTTCTTCACATGATGAAGAATTAATTAATATATCAAACGAGAACTCTAGTACGGAAATGGAAGATGTTCACGGCTCTTTATCTAGTCATGACAATTCTAACGATTCTCTCTTCTTAAACCAAGATAATTTTACAAAAGAAATTAATATTTAAATAAAATTTTAAATTCCAATTTTTTAATGATTTTAAAGGGTTTTTAAAATGGTAAACGGATATCATTAATAATTATTAAACATGAGAAATTGATAACAATTTATATCTACTTTAAATTATTCAAAGAATCCTACTATTAAAAACCTCGTTAAACACAATTTAGTTTTGCTTGCGAAAACTGTTTTGTTTGTAAAATAAATGAATGAATACCGCAAATAAATCATTTTTCAAAAAATAGGCCCTTTCAAAAACGAATACTAATCAAAAAATTTACTATTCGTATTTAACGAAAATATATTTTTCAGAATTTTTTTTTATTTCACATTAAACAAAACTAAAATGTATATTAATTTAATTTTTATAAAGCAAAGCCAATTTTTAAGGCTGAGTTTTCTTAATGCTTCCTCTTTAAGACAGAAATGCATTTTTGAGCAAATTCGTTCCATAGGAAAAGCCTTTCAGTCACTTGAAGCTTGTTAATCACATCACCTGACAGATTTATTAGTTATAAATAAATAAATCTTATCAAAAAACAGTAATTATTCCGAGGATTTTATTAAAACGAAGTTATTGAATAGAATAATTGTTCACATTCAAACAAAACGAATAATTTACTATTCGATTTAAATTATTCGAAAAGAATTAAATATTCGATTAGTCGTTATTTTAACATATTACACAAGATTTAATGTTTTATTAAGCTTCTTATTAATAAATTAATAATTCCTGTCAGCTAAAACATGAAAAATTAAAATATATTAAATATGCATATAACAAAAAATTAGATTAGTGATATCGGTAATCGGCCTCCAAGAAGTGATATCGGCGCACCTTTAATCCTATTGATTTGAAATATAAAAATGGATATATAAAATTATATTGATTCCTTTCAAAATAGGATAAAATTGGTGAAGTCAAGATACACTCTTCAACCAGTATTTTGCAGAATCAATTTCGCATCGCGTTAAACGAACTGTATGTGGTCCAAGAATAACTCCTCGTTTATAGTAACCGCGATGATAGTAAACTTTGCATAATTTCTGGCTGAATGATAGCATAGCCGTATAATTTAACAAGCAGTTTGTCAGGGACACAATGTCGCGCTCTTTTTGCGATTATTATGAACGAGACCGGCCTAAAAATTGAGAAAATATAATCATCCAACATATATAAAAAAAATACGCTGATTCTTTCAATGAGTTGAAAAGATAATTCCATATAGATAACACCGAATCCTGGTTCCATATGAACACTTCCAAAAAAATTTGAATTATAATCATTTAGCCTTATTTTTTAAAAATACCTAAGACACGTGGTATCAGAAAGAAAATTCTATGAACAAAAACTTCAATCAACAAATCTACATAACCCAAAATTGACTACTTTATATCTAAATATACTGTTAACTATCATTCCAAGGTGAAGAACGTACAGATTTAGCTGGGATTTGGATAATTTTATTAATGTAAATTTAATAAACATCTAAAATAATTTTAATAATAAAAGCAAATATTTCATCCTATATATAACACTTTGATTCTATATCATATATTTTTTAATTGATTAATTTAAATGTACAAAAAAAAATTTTTAAGTTAAGTTAATGAATAATTCTATAGAAGCAAAAATCATATAATAATAATAAATCCTTCGTTAAATTAAAATGTCTTTAAACAATATAGACCACGTTAACAAAATGAAATTAAATATATTTTATTTCCCTTAAAGGTAGGTGATGATTATAATAGAATGATAAAAAAAAATAAGAATGGTGATTATTATTACAAAACGATAAAATATTTAATATATCAATATTTGTTGACGAGGTAAATTACATAAAGAATCAACATAAACATTGTAACTATTTATTATTTTATTAACATTTAACAGAACTTTGAGTCCAAATATTGAATTTAATTTATCAAAACATAAAATGATAAGCACAATGAATCATAAATTAAATTATGTACGCTCAAAAATGGCAGTAGCGAGTTACTTTTTCTTAATTAAAGAGGAATATTAACTGTAAATACGAAAATTAATTTATAATATCGCATAAAATTTTATATTAACTCTGTATTGAATGGAGTTTTTTATAATTTAATATAAAATAAGTGATTTCTTATGTCTATGGTCTAGTAAAACTATTTCTTAAAAAAAATATTTTTCCCCGCGTTTTAGAGAATTATGAAATGTGTATTCAAAGTAAAAAAAAAAGTTCCAAATATATTGCTGAACTAATTTCGAAATTATTAACTATACCATTATTAACTAAAAGGAATAGTTTTATACACCCATTTTATAGGTTTTGGGAATAATTAAATCATTTACAGATATTTTCGTTTATTGTTGGCTATTAGAATTTCTCTATTTTGTGGTGCTTAAAAATATTAGTATGTTTCCATATTAATTGTCGCTTACTAGGTAATTTTGGTATTTCATTTTCTTGCTAAAATATTGAGGTAGGCGTTTTTAAAAGTCGGTTCGAATGGAGCGATTTTGCATCACTATGCTGATATATTTAATTCATTGTAAATAAATATATTGGGCTTAAAAATTTTATCCCTATTTTTTTTAAATTCAGGGCATAGGCCAGACCCAGATCTAAAAAAATTTGTCGGGTCACCGCAGGCAAGCCTGGTCTAAAAAATTTGTCGGGTCACCGCAGGCAAGCCTGGTCTAAAAAATTTGGTTTTGTAGGTCTAAAGAATTTCAAAAATAAATAATGCATAAATTGGTTGTATATATGTTATACCACACCATATATATGTTTTATCTAAATTTCCAAATCCATAGAGAATATTTATCAATTATATTCAATAAATGATTAAGAATACTAGTTGATAACCCTGTCAAGAATGACGGGAACAATAAAATCTTGAACTATTATATGAAATTTTTTTTTAATACATTTTTTTATATAAAATAAATGACAAATTTTAGTGATTATTTATTCATTTTATTAAATTTAGCCTAAAATATATGAAATTGTAATTAAAAATGTAGGGTAGATATTGATAAATTGGTTATTGTATGTCATTTCCAGAGTTCAAATATTGTTGTTGAGATAAAATTTTTATACTGGCATATTTTGGGGTGGTAATATGAGATAAATGTTTATTTTTCAATTGGCTAAATATAATTTAAATTTATTTGTTAAATCTAAATTATAATAAGTACTTAGGATTAGTGAGGGAGGTTAATTTTCACTTAGGATTAGTGAGGGAGGTTAATTTTCTGGCATGGGAAGATATTGATAAATAGGTATTTTATACTATTTGCAGAGCTCCCATATTGTGGTTGAGATATAAATCGTTAAGTCATAGGTTCAAATCCCGTGATGTACAAAAAATTTTCTTAAAATTTAACATTAGAGATATATAGTCTCCATCGATTTATTTAACATTAAGAGGATAGGAAAGTTGATAGAAAAAATTAACATTTAGATAAGATGATAGGAAAAATAAAAATTAACATTAAGATTATATAAAAACGTTCATTTCTTGATTACGGTGATTATATATATAAATAATGTAATGTTCTATAGCCGTTTAATCAGAATCTTATTTAATTTTTCATTCCAGTTAATTATCTACTTTAATTTTGATATTTACAAAGTATAAAAGCAAATTTTATAATAGTTAAATATGTGAAAAATAAATTATATTAATTTCCCCATAATTTTAAAGTAGCGTTTAACACATTTTAAAATATAAAGATACGAAATTAACGGAAAAATCCATGAAAAAGAGGACCTTAAAATTTTTTAAAACAAAAATATAAAAAAACATTGCATCTTTTGTTAAAGAAATGAAAAAAATACAAGATTCTATCTTAGATATCTGCATCTTATAAATAAAATACAAAGTTCAAGACACAAAACAAAATATTAGTAATACTCAACTCTATTGATGACCAATAAAGAATTATCATAGGTAAATCGGGTATATAGCTGGTGAACTATATGAAGTAAATAAACTGTCCCATTAAAGGCTAACTGTATTGGACCTTTATTATTTTCTAAAAGTTATGATTGTTATTAATCCTTGAGCATATTTTTTATTAAATATCAAATATTAAGTTAACAGTATGTCATAAATAATATGACTAGATTGTAATTTGATTTATAAATCTAAAATATAATTTTCATATTTAATTAATACAATTATAAACTTATGATCTAAAAAAAGTATAAAATATAAATACTAATATAATAAGTGATTTAGAAAAAATTTGTATAAAATCTATCAAAAGTGCAAAATACTCTTTGTTAATTAAATAATAAAACTATGATTAAAGCCCAATATATAAAGAGCAGAACATCATTAAACAGCAAAAATATGATAAATTTTTAAGAACCAAAAAGAATTGAAATTCTACCATATTCAATTAATATACAATAGTTTATCGCAAAATTAAATTCTGTAGTTTATTTTTCATTTTATAATTTGGATTTTTAATTTTTTGCGCATGTTCTTTGAAAAAGTTGAGCTCCTTCAATACCGCAATTAAATCCCCAAGTATTTCTATCAAAACCAAAAATTTTTGAGAAATAAAGATTATTAGCCCATATGCTGGTGCCTACTTGCATCTTTTTCCCATCATAAATATCGTTATTTTGGTTAATTTTGTTTTTTTTTAAATTATTTTTACCTTTATGACAGGGGTAATTCATATTGAATTTATGATCTTGTATATTATCTTTAGGATCCGTGAGGGATTTCGGATTTAAATCATGAATTGTGCATAATAATTCCTGAATATCATCCATTAATTCATAAAGATAACCAGATGTGAGAGAGGATATAACATTGACCTTTGAGGTTTGGCGAAATTTACAAGAATAAAGCTTGAATTTTATGAGACTTTGTATATTTTTTGTCTTCCTATCCTGATTAAAGATTTTGTAACATCTATCTTGATCATAATTATTAGGGTAATCCCATTCGGTGTAGTAAGCATCTAAAAGAGAATTTATCAAAGCCTGACAAAGTTCGAGTTCTAAGTCTGGAACTGCATTATTATCAACTGTATTTTTTGATGTAAAATTGTTATCGCTTGTTTGAATAATGTTATTTTCTAAACCTTTATTATCATATAAGATACAATCAGTATTTTGCAAAGGTTTGGTAATCCCGTTACAAAGACGATTTTGGTAATGATTGAAAGCACCTCGTGAGTTTACGAAAAGAACCTATATTAAAATATTCAAGAGTTGTTTTAAAATGTTTTTGTCATCAATTTAAAATTTATAATTAATCTTATTTATATATTCCTTGTTCTTCTTTTCTTATCACTATTATCTTGATTTTGTTTCCTCATTAGTGATTTGCCAGCAAATAAATCTTATATTTTTCAACACCAATAAAGATATTTTGGTGAGTATGGTAACCTTAGGAAAATTCAATAAAATATTTTACGCGTTCATAATTAATTTTTATATTTTATTTCGACAATATCCAATGTAAGATTAAACCTTTTCGCAATCATTCAACTGTGCCTGAACCCATTCCCATTTCCCCAAAGCAATACACCACATCTCATTTTCTTTTATATTTTGACATATGGCTACGGGTTTAACTTTGCAATATAGCGATAAAAATCGACAGAAAGCGTATATTAATTGTGAATATGCTTTATCATCCGGGTAATATACTATTAAAACTTTGGGCCATTGATTAGAATCTTTTTTTTTGATATAATTAAAATATTTAGTTCTTATTATCACAATTAAAAATATTTTGTTCCTGTAAATTTAAAAAATGATGCTCCATTTTAATTGATTTGAAATAAAATAATAGATTGAATGTGGTTCTAAATGTTAGAGAGATGGTCTTTTATAAATGGATATTAAATAGTTTCATTATAGAATAAGATATTATAGAAAAGTTAAATTTAAAAAGGGGGGCATATCAAATTGGGTTCAGAATTTTTTTTATAAAAATTGACCTTACCTTCTTGATATCGTAAAGTAAGTTATTTATATATTTTTTAAAATATTTCAGATTGTTTTACTTTTTTAAAAAATTATAATTCTAACTCTCAATATTACCTTTTTCATGCTAAGCACCTCTATAATACAAAGGTAATTCAAAATATCGATCGTTCGATAAAAAAAATCTGATTATTACCATATATCATCAAAATATGGAGAAAAAAGCTATGTGAAAAATTATACTCAAGAAAAATGATGAAAATACTGATAACTTAATAATAAAAAATTTTAAATCCCCTCTCTCCCATATAAAATTTAAGTCACATCCTTGATGAACAAACACTTTTTAGGTAGGTTAAAAATATTTATAAATATAATCTTATTATTAGTGGAAAACAATTATTATAAATATATCTATACCTGTTTCCGAAGATTCCAGCGATTTTAAGGTAGCTTTATTGATATCGGTAGAAAAATTGGAATATAGATACAAAGGCAAATCATTGTTAGGGTCTTCGAGATTAGTTTTGCAATAATTTTTACTACTCCTACTTTTGTCATATGCATGGTATGAGTAATTTGAATCGAAAGCTTATATTTGAATATGTAAGCAGAATTTTAATATCATTTTAAATTTAATCATAACCATAAAAATCCAAGGCGTTCAAATAAATATCATTGATTTAAATCAATTTTTAGGTTCAAATATATTCTAAACAGATAAATACATCCATTATATTTTTATAGCACACTCAAACAATTTTTTATCTCTATTCTATAAGAGAAAATTAATTATTTAATACCTATTTCATCTTTGTTTCTTAATTAGTTTTTATTTTCGTATTTTTTGGATTGATAAATCCACATCCAAAAATATTACACTTTCTAAGATGGGTATAACAAAATATTATAGTGTATTATATATTCTCTTGATAATATGGTTATCGTTATTCAATATAAGTTGAATAAAACTCCTTTATTATTATTAGAAATTATGAAAGAGGATTATTATCTAAGAAGAGTGATGAATTCATATTTAAAAATGATAGGAATGTACCGATATTTTCTACCGATATTTCACCCATTTTTAAATATCGGTTATCGGTAAATATTATAAAATTTTCCGATCCGATCCGATAAAAAATGGCGTTTTTAACAAAAATAAAATATTATAAAATTTTAAAAAAAAGTTATATCTATAATCCATTTATTTTTATAAATAAAATCGAAATTCATTTTTATGTTAAATTTTTTAATAATAATAATTAATTAATAAACATTCTGCCATATTGTTATTTTTTTTTGCGCACTATGCTTATAAAAGTGTGCGATAATCTCTTCAGAATCTGTTTTTATTGAAATTGAGAGTCTCCATCTCTGCAGAATGATAAATTGGAAATTTTGGTATTTCTAAAAAGAAATCTTCGATATATTAATTATAATTTTAAATATTTATTTCAAATTTCATAATATATTTGTTTATTACATATTATGTAAATAGATTAATTTTATTACTTATTATATAAATAAGTGATTTATCAATAAAAATATTTTATATACTTTTAGAATTGCAATTGAATATAAACTATAATATCATTAAGTTAAATTATAGATGTTATACTAATAAAAAGTTTATTAAAAATTAAAAACATTGGTATCTTTACAGAATACAAAATGATATGTCTAATATCAGAAATATTGGATCGGTTCGGCCTCCAAAAAGTGGTATCGATACACCCCTAAAAAATGAGAATTTATAATCAACATAAATAAAAGATAACTAAAAAATCTTAGAACATACAGATGCCTAGCATTGTTAAAAAGTTCGATTTAACCAATTTTATTATGGAAGCTTCAAGATTTCGTTAATAGATGCCCAAACCTTTCTGTCATCTATGAGCAAAATCTCCAGGCTTGCGCAATATTTTTTGGCTAAAATGTTGAGTTAGCCGTTTGTAAAAATCGAACCATTTAAAACACCAATATTCCTTGTCATACCTTTCTAAAAAACCAACCGATTTTAAAAAAATTTAATAAGTAACAACCAAATTTTTATTAGAAGATAATCAAATTTTATTAAAATTCAATAAAACTCATTAATAATAAAAAACGAAGTCAAGAAGCTGCAAATCTAAAGAAAGATATGTTATACCTAGAAGCACATAGTCATATACTTAATTTTAAAAAAAACCCAAAATTTTCTTATATTAGAACCCAGATATATGCGATTGGTGATATAGTTAATCACCGATTAGGCCACTCACTACGCTTCAATGGGATAGCTTTTTTCGTATGGCTGTCATATTTTTCATATTATTATTTAAAATTATTTATTTATTAAAAATTATTTTGTTTAATATTTATCACATTTATAAATAGTAGCGTGATTTCATATATCACGTGTATAACTCGTAATTTCTTTGTCCTAAAAAAGAATAAAAAGGATGAGATTTTTAATTAGACTTTAATGTTTTTTTTGTAGTGTTGGCCAATAAAATTTGGAGTTGAGAATTTATTACTTTTAGCTTTAGAGTTGTGTTGGTAAATTGTGTGAGTTATTAAATAGCGTTGTATGGGTAGAGTTTTTATAGTATATAATTTTCACAATGGCAAATAAAGGATGTTTTTAAATATTATGAAAAACTAAAACCGTTTGACGAATTACTACTTAAAATATATAAGGCATACAATGGCATGATTTAATTTTCCTACCCTTGATTATATTTAGATCCTAATTCAAAAAATAAATGCAATATATTTTTTTTATCCTTGAATTGAAGAAATTGAAAACTGAATAAAAAAATTGATGAATCCCAAACTATAATACTAGATTTGATAATAAATACATCGAATTTTTCCCTTAGTTGAAAGTAAGAAATGTTTATCATAAAAATATATCATCAAATTGGTAGTTATGTTGTGAATATTCTGATACTTTGTGAAATTATTTATTTTGACATTCAGAGTTGTTAAAGTAGTGGGCTATTTTTTAAGTAGCAGAAGCTAATAGCACATTATTTTAAAAAATAATTAGTAATATCAGTAGGGTGCTACTTTTTAAAATTCTATAATAAATACTAAAATTTATCACTAATTAATTATCATGTTTATAATTAAATTTATGAGTAACTGGGCATTTTTCATATATTTAATTTAGAAAGGTTAATTTTTAGACATAAATTAGATTTGTAAAAAATAAATAATCTTTTTCATAAAAAGTAACGAAGCTACTTTTAAAAAGGTGACTAATAAGGCACTACTTTTTTGAAAAATAGCAATTACATTTTTTGTTAAGTAGCGTTAGCAAGCTATTTTCAAAAGTGGCATTTAACAACACTGCTGACATCTGAACATAATTAAATCTATAAGTTAAGATCCGTAGTCAACATCAAATAAAAATACCTTTAAATAACTTATCCAAGCACCGTCTCTTTCTAGCCCAGTCTTTTCTATTAAGCCTTCGTGCGTATATAAACGTCAAAAGCAATAATATCAAGAGGAGTATGGTAGAAAAAATAGCTATGCGTTGAACATGGGATGTTGTAATAAAGAGAGGCTGGTGCGGGAATATTTCTTGATGACCAGGTGGCATGAAGGGATTTTTTAAGATATTTGGCAAATTGGTATAATGAGGTAGGTCTATAATTTCAACATTAATGGGTTTTATTTAATATGTTATAAATTTAATTTTTAAAAATATGCCTGTTTAAAATGATATATACAAATTTCGATAATAACCTAAGGTTTTTGATGTGGCTGGTAAACACTGTATACAATTTTTGGATACACTCATTTTACAAAAGCAAGATTGATTTGAAGGTTCTATGGGTGTTATCTTTATAAAAAAATAATTTAAGTTAAGTTTGTTTTTATTACTGATAAAATGTTTCAAAATTTTATTATTAACAATAAATAATATTAAAAAGTAGTGAAAGCTCAAAAAAAGGTGATAATTTTTTTTGTTTCTTTTTATCTTCCTTTTAGAATATTTGTATGCATACCTTTATGTAGTAAAATCCGGGGATGACGTCTTCAAAAGTATGAACTATATCTTGTCCATTTAACTTGATTTTGTTTTTTAAAAAAGTTAGTAAATAAGCAAATCGAAACAATGTTATATTATTTTTCCAAAAGTATCATCATAAGTTAATAATAATTAATTAAAGTTATAAAAAGCCCCATCTCAATTAATGTAAAATTCAACCATATCAATTTCAATGCTGCTATATAGATTATATTAATGTTGTTAAACAGCTCGTTTGAACCGATTTTTAAAAACGGCTAACTCAATATTTTTGCCAGAAAAATACTGACTAAGACTCGAAATTTCGATACTATATGTCTTAGACCTTTGCTCCTTCTATGAACAAAATTTTCAGGCTTGCATAATATTTTTCTGGATAAAATGCTGTGTTAGCCGTTTTTAAAAACCGACTCAAAACGAGCTATGTGATGTACCGTATATGCTAATGTTAGCGGGAAATTATTTAAAAGTTCAATATTTAATGTAATACAGCACTATTTTTATCCTATAATGTTTGGACCATGTAGATATGTTACAAAAAATATATAAAACAAGGCATATAACTTTTTCCACAATTGAATGACTGACAATAGAATCGCCCTTCTGATTTCTATTAAGTTTAGATAGCCCTGCATAGCTTTTTTTATCATCCTCGTCAATCTTTTCGCCATGTCTAGAAGCTGCTCCATTTATCGAAGTCAAAGCGGAAGGGTCAAAAAAATGTTTATATGATCTATATCTCACATTAGCCCTCGTTAATACGTTGTTAATTATGGAAAGGGTATGAGTAATGGATTCGTTGCTATTGACATTATTAACATTGATATCCGTTTTATTGACTTGTGTAATAAATAATATATTTAAAAAATGTATGAAGTAGTCAATGAGATTTCGAAATTCAAATTAAACTGGGCAGTCATCCTAAAAATAAAGACCAGATTTAATAAAACAATTAAATTTACCTAATTCAAGTTTTATCATTTCCCTAAATATAAATAGATAAAAGTATCACGGCCAACAAATATGAATATTAGCATTAAAAGTTCAAATAAATTACTTTTTGTAAAATCGATGATACTATAATTTTCTTCAATGAGAAAGTAGGAAAAGGGTAAGGATGTTTGATTTGGAGATGAGGGAGAGTCATTTTTTCTATTAACTCTATTATCGTAATTTTCAGATTGAAAATTCGTAAAGTTACTAGTGTGCCCAATTGTATCAGTATTATTGTAAGATAATTGCTCCAGTCTATGTAATTCTATGCGAAAAGCGTTAAAATCCCTCCAACCTTTATTATCAGAAATAATTATGGTGGAAACAACCCTATAACTATGGACAGTGTATAGTGTCGCATTCATTTCGCCTTGTCAAAAATAAATATTATTAATAATATATTATAAATTGCCAGATAATTCTTATTGTGAAAACTAATCCTATAGGGTGTGTCCTTCTACTTATTACTAAACAGCATAAAGAGGAAAAAAACGAAAAAAAACAATACCACCAAGCACTTAAGACAAACCAAAATAGGGTGTCCTATTGAAAAGCTGTTTACTCTAAGTATCAAAAATAAGTCGAACCAGGGCACGGCCATATAGCTTAATAATATATAGTTTATGACTACTTGTTTCTTACTCAAAGATTTAAGAATACCTAAATATTTTTGAGCATAAATAAATAAAAATGATCCTTTATTATGCGCAAATGATAAGAACTAGATGTCATTTAATGCAGTGGCCCCTACAACGGGGAGGGGGGGGGGGTCCGAAGCAACTGCTTCAGTAAATTTGAGGGGGGTGCAAAAAATTTTTTTTTTAAATTTTCTTTATTATTTAATTTTTTTACTGTTTTGTTACATCCATCATGATCAAGTGATTTCTAGTTTATAAATGTAATAATAAGACCCCCCCCCCCAACTTAATATTTAATTTAATATATATTGACTGAAATTTTTCTACTTATTTTTTTAAGCATAATATGAATAGATAGTAGTATTCATATTTTAATTTAAATATCTTATCTTTCCTTCCTCCCTTTTCTTAGGAATCAAATGATCCCACCAATATTGTTGGAAAAAGAATTGACAAATTTATAATTGATAAATATCTAGTAGGAGCTCTTCAACCTACACATTATTTGGTAAGCGGAAAATAATTCCCCGGAAAAAAAATCCCGAAAAAAAATTCCCGGGAAAAAAATCCTCGGAAATTAATTCCCTGGAAAAAAAATCCCCGGAAAATAAATTCCCGGAAATTAATTCCCCGGAAAAAAAATACCCGGAAAATAATTCCCCGGAAAAAAATTCCCCAGAAAATAATTCCCAGGTAAATAATTCTCCGGAAAAAAAATCCCCGGAATAAAATTCCCCTGGAAATAATTCCCCGGAAAAAATTTCCCCACTATACATTGAATTGCTAATGCATTGCTAAACTGCATTGCTAAAAGGCAATCAATCATTATCAATTATAAATCAATCAAAAATTTATTACGTATATTTTTTTAATGATAATTTTTTAAACTTTTTTTAAAATATATTTAAATCATTTTTTTATTATAAATGAAGAATACTGATTAAATGATATAGTATATAATTTTATTTTTATTTAATATTATTAACTAGTTGATAATTTGTCAAAAATGACGGGGAATATTATTTTTAATGAAACAATATCTCTTAGTAGCACCCTAAATACTATCATTATTTACCAGAGCTCCTGTTAGTCAGAATTGTCAGCGATCATATTAGGAGACCAACCAGGTTCACCATGAGGGAATAGTATAGGATAAACCATGGGGTCTAAATTTGGGCTCAATACATTAAGAATAATGAGATCGTTGTCATTAGATTTAGGATAGACTTTAATATCTCTTTTGAAAGGAGGCTCTCCATCTTCATTATTGAAAATCATAGCTACGTCATCCATAGATGGTAAATTATAACGGCGTCGATCGCTAGAACGATCTCCTTTAAAGATCATATTAATGGTTGGGAGTTTTGTATTAGAAGTAGTTGCTAATTCTAATGCAGATGGACTTCACCTAATGTCTTAAAACTAAGAGCATAGGGGTTAATTTGTCGTATTAACTGATCTAATTGCTTCATAATATCTTTATTACATTTACTATTTGCTGGATGGTGTATACGCTTATCTATAGCCTGTGTCGTATCTAACACGTATAACTGGGCATAAGTAGGCAAAGCATTAGAAGGTGGGTATAAATTAGATGTGCGGTGATATATTTGGCCGTGCACTTTGAAACAATAAGGGCCACTACCTGTAAGATCCGAAATTTTTGCGCCCATCGATGCAAAAGCTACTGCTGAATTATAAGAACGTATGTTCTTCATAAAATTATTATGTAACTTATCTTGAGGGTTTGATATAAGATTTTTTAAATAAGGAGGATATGGTATTTGGGTAAGGATAACCTTCCCTTTATGACAGCACTGTGTGAATTTACCGTCGGTCGGTCTCTCAGCTATGAAATTCATGGAAAAACAAAATTGACATATGATATTCATAGGCCCGCAAGTATGTTCAGTTATTAAGTGAATATCATTAGTATTAAAATGTGTTAAATTACTTCTATTTTTAAGAATAGATGTATAGGTGGTGGGGAAAATCTGTTTAAGCTTTAGACGAAAACGGGCAGCACATGCCCGCATCCTAGCAGTTTTAGTTGATATATCAATAGGAAAAGGTTTATTTAAATTAATACTTTGAGGTGTAGGTACTAAAGCTACTATAGGTTTGGGTTTCTTGGATTTTATATGACTTCGCACTTTACGACCACTTTCCTTAAAATAAAAATATTTTATCTAAATTATTGGAAAATAAAACTTCTTTTGTTATGTTTAATCTTTTTCTATTTCCCAAAATAGAAGTGTAAGAGGTAGGGAAGATTTGTTTAATTTTTTGATGAAAACGGCTTATGCATGCGCTAATCATAGCAGTTTTAATTGATAAATCAATTGGGAGATATAAATTTGAATTAGGATTATGAGTTGTAGTTAATGAAACTAATTTAGGATTATTATATTTGGATTTTATGTGATTCCGTAATTTGCGGATACTTTCCTTTAATTGTTTGGGAGATTGTCTATTTTCCATAGTATTCTATTTATTAACGTTACATAGAATAAAAATTAAATATTATTTTCAAATAACTGGTAACACAAAAAAATTCCTAAATCTAGAAATGAACGTTTTCGTATCTTGGTAATGTTAATTTTTTTTCTATCAACTTTCCTATCATCTTAACGTTAATTTTTTCACTTTCCTATCTCCTAATGTTAAAATATCTTTTTTCTATCACCTTTCCTATCAATCATCTTAATGTTAAATAAATTGAGAGCTATTATTATCTCGTTAATGTAAAAATTTTTTTATGGCAACACTGGGATTCGAACTCGCAACCTATCGTTCGGAAGACAAACTTTTTTCCATTAAGCCCCCCCCCTTCAATATTATATTTTGATATATTTGTATATATATGAAACTTTTTTTTATAAAATTAACTTAATTTAATTAGAATGACGGGTTGATGGGCAATTATTAAGTTAGGTGTATATGATACTAAATATGCTTTATTAATATATTTTATAAAAATATTAAAATTTAGGAGAAAAAGAGGTAAAATTGTTACAATGTAACACGTGAGGGTATAAGAAATATCAAAATTTAAATTGTGATAGAAATCATATTGGCTAAAATTTAAAATAGAGATCCTTGAAAATTTAATTTTAAATATGGGATATAGATATTGGTCTGAAATTTTTTTTTTACAAACATAGCCAGGCCTGATCAAAAAACCAAGTCCCATGCAACTTTCATAAAATTTTCATTTTTTTTATTTTGATTTAATAACAATGTCTTAAATTTAATTTTAATATTCCATTTATTTCTATTGTGGGTAATTACTAATTAGTTAGGTGTATATGATAAGAAATATGCTTTATTAATATATTTTATAAAAATATTAAAATTTAAGAGAAAAAGAGGTAAAATTGTTGCAATGTAACCCGCGAGCATTATGGGTATTAGAAATATCTGGGTAAAATTTAAAATAGAGATTCTTGAAAATTTTTTAATTTTAAATATGGGATATAGACATTGGCCTGATATTTTTTTTTGCAGACATAGCCAGGCCTGATCAAAAAACCAAGTCCAATGCAACTTTTATATAATTTTCATTTATTTTTTATTGTAATTTAATAACAATTTCTTAAATTTAATTTTATATTCCATTTATTTCTATTGTAATTTAATAACAATGTCTTAAATTAAATTTTATATTTAGATTTTAGAATAAAATTTAAAATTGTGATAGATATCATATTAAGTAAAATTTAAAATAGAGATAACATTGGCCGGGAAATTTTTTTTTGCAGACATGGCCAGGCCTTATCAAAAAACCAAGGCCTATGCGACTTTCATATTCTGATTGTATTTTTAAATGAATTATGGGGCTGGGCTTGGGAATTTTTTTATTATTAACTATGAGTCAGACATTGAACTAAAACAAATTTTATTGCAGGCCTGGGCTCGGCCTGATCATAAGATCTAAATTTTAATAATTACTTTTATGAAATTTTAATCAAGAATGAAGGAAGCATGATAAAAATGGGTAGCTAATGTCATTTTAAGAGATTCCAATATTGTTTGGGGTGTATTGTGAGATTTATTTTTGTTTGTCAAATAGCTAAATATAATTTAAAGAATAGTTATAAGATCTAAATTTTAATAATTACTTTTATGAAATTTTAATCAAGAATGAAGGAAGCATGATAAAAATGGGTAGCTAATGTCATTTTAAGAGATTCCAATATTGTTTGGGGTGTATTGTGAGATTTATTTTTGTTTGTCAAATAGCTAAATATAATTTAAAGAGATCTAAATTTTAATAATTACTTTTATAAAATTTTAATCAAGAATGAAGGAAGCATGATAAAAATGGGTAGCTAATGTCAGGGTGTATTGTGAGATTTATTTTTGTTTGTCAAATAGCTAAATATAATTTAAAGAATAGTTATAAGATCTAAATTTTAATAATTACTTTTATGAAATTTTAATCAAGAATGAAGGAAGCATGATAAAAATGGGTAGCTAATGTCAGGGTGTATTGTGAGATTTATTTTTGTTTGTCAAATAGCTAAATATAATATAAAGAATAGTTATAAGATCTAAATTTTAATAATTACTTTTATGAAATTTTAATCAATAATGAAGGAAGCATGATAAAAATGGGTAGCTAATGTCATTTCAAGAGATTCCAATATTGTTGGCGGTATAATTAATTGAATGACGGTAAAAATATATTGGTGAGAAATTCAAAAATTACGTCAAAATTAGGCGCATGCGC